TTTAAGTTTGGGGTTTCGTCCAACCTTAATTAAGGCCGACCTAAAACTCAGAGAAACATCCTAGAACCCTAGAGAACCTGTTCTCTTCGATTTCTATTGTCTCGGGATTGGATCTCGTCTCTTGAGTTACCCTTTTCTTCACTAATCCTAGCAGATTCGTTCCAAATCGTTTGGAATCCTTCCCGTCGGTGTGAATACGTGTAGAGGGACTGTAACTTCAGTCCTAGGTGATTTAGAACAGGCCCCGGATCGAAATAAACTTCAAGTCTCATCGAGAACGAGGTAAGTAGCGATTCCCTTGGTGATATACACGATCTTTCGGGTTTTGCGAGTTTGGTTGCGTGTGGCGTTTGACTAGGTTTAGATCTTTCTTCCGCTGCATGAAACCTAGTAAACCAAACCCTAGATCGATATGATCGCATGCTAGGAACCCGTAGATAACCCCAACACTTCCATAATGATAAATCACTGTTTCAATCATATTTTTCCACATCCAGTTTAACCACCATTGGAGCAGAAGCCATACTTGATCAAGAAATCTTTCGAGACTCGAAATCTGAGTTGAGATCCTGATCCATTATGGATTCGATTCTTGCGTGAATGAACTTCCCAACCTAACCAGGCTCTGATACCAGTTGTACTGGTTAATCCCGATCTGAAGATTTCAAAGAACAACACCTTCTCGACGATTGATTCGAATCAGAAGACAAAAGAATGAAACACTAGAGAGTTTAACGAATTCGGATCTTAATGATCCTACATCTTGGCCAAGTGGAATTGGCGATTCACTAGTGATTCCTTGAGATCACAATATGAGATTACAAGATCAATCCCTCTCGCTTTCACTTGAAATCTCTCTCTGAAAAACCCAGAACCCAGAAAGAGAGAAGAAAAATTACAGAGGAAAGAAGAAGATGAGCTCTGCTTTAACACTCACAGATCGAACAGAATTAACAACCTCCCCTTATACATTTACTCTTCTACCCTTACTAAATCTCTAATTCCAGCAGAGATTTCAGTTAAGACATTCACAACAATAGCTTATCCGTGGAAGATCAATATTTCACATATTTTTTTGAGAAGTTAACTTGTGTGCTGACCCACCTAGTTGTCATGGGTCATTCGTTTTTTTTTTGTTGTGTAATGGTGATTTCTATTAATAAAAACTTAAAAATTTATATCCACCATCCCTAGGATATACAAAAATTAGTGAGCAAAATACCGGTAACACGTTCGCAAGTGGTACACAAAGCTGATTTTATAGTAAGGTTCTTCAACTTCACGACCGATCGATTCGAATCAGAAGACAAAAGAATGAAACAACAGAGCGTTAAACGAATTCGGATCCTGATGCGTTCCTCCAAATTTGTTTCAGCTACTTTATGCTGATTGATTAGTAACCCATATAACTAACATTTCCACAAAACCAATAACTTAACGTTGTTTATTCATGAGTGTTAACTTGAAAGTAATTTAGTAATAGGAGTTTATACATGACAAATTTTTCTTTAGGAATTTTTTGTGGTACATTATGAGAAATTAGGGATTTTTTCGAAAATTTCCCTAAAAATAAGAATGTTTCGGATCATTTGCAAGTATATTTTGCACAGATGAAAAAAAAATCACATAATTCGCCGATATCTTTTTGTTTTTTTACACATTCCCCAAAATTTCCTCTTCGTGGGTATTTAACTACACACGGACGTCGTAATTCCATATGATTCACACACAAAAAAATAAGGTTATAAAAAAATTACGAGTTTATCTAGAAAAATACTAAAATATTACATAATAATAAATTGTAAAACCATAATGAATTTCCTCATAAATACCCACGATCAACTCATGCATTGTATATAATAAAAAATGTTTATAATTTTGTTTTTTTTTCTCGCTCAAGTTAAGCGAAAGGAGACGCAAGCTTTACCAGAAATCACCGCAGGAGCATTTCCCATCACGGAAATGGTGAAACCTCTTGGCATCTCTCACGACCATCTCTCGTCTCATCATCAGAGACAACAACTTTAAGAAGTTATGACAATCTCCACAAGTCCTCAAGTTTTTGAACACTCTTATGGTTGCTTGCGAAGGAAGTTTCATCAGCCCGAATGCCACCGCAAGCTTCTCACTGTGCGTGGACAAAGTGGATTCCAACACGAATCTCGTGTTCGGTTCATACCCGAGTTTCCTCATCTCCATCCCCAACTCTTCAAGATAGTTGTAAACTGCTCGTCCCTCTGGGTGTTTAGTGTCATCGACCAGAAATGTATGGACTTGGTTCTTCACCTCGATCCAACTGCATCCCGGTTCCTTTTTTACCCCTCGATCACGCATCAATTTACGCACTCTCGCCTTTTCTTCCCAGAGACCGGCGGCTGCATATATGTTTGATAAGAGAACATATGTCCCATCGTGCTCTGGCACGAGGTTGAGGAGCTTCTCAGCGGCTAAGATCCCCAGCTCAGTGTTTCCATGGTTTCTGCAGCCGGAGAGAAGGGCTTCCCATATTTGTAGAGTTGGTTCAAACGGCATAGACTTGATTATATCCTCCGCATCCGAGAATTTTCCAGATCTACAGAGCAAGTCGATAACCCGAGCGTAATGATCATCACCCGGGGGAATACTGTAAAGGGTTTTCATCGAATCAAAATATTTAAGTCCTTGTTCAACTAGACCTGCGTGGCTGCAAGCGGTGAGAACTGAGAGGAATGTTATCCGATCAGGCGATATGCCCTCTTTCAGCATCTCCTCGTAGACTTCAACTGCTTCAACACCATGTCCATGCTGCCCCAATGCAGCAATCAGAGCATTCCAAGAGACAGGATCCAAATACGACATCGTAAGAAACACGCGTCGAGATTCCTCAACACAACCACACCTTGCATACATTGTTATGAGGGCATTCACAGCTGAGAGGCTCGAATCAAACCCTAATTTAATCAACTGAGCATGGTACTGCTGTCCATTGCTATAGGATCCTACGGCAGCACATGAAGAGATTGCCCCAGCGAATGCATAATCACACGGTTCAAAACCTTCTTTCTTCATAAGGGAGAACAGTTTCAGACCTTCTCCTGAGCCGCTTTGCGCTAATGCAGAAATCATCATCACCCAACTCAGGAGATTCCTCTCCTCCATCTCCTCAAACAGTAACTTTGCTTCACCTATGTGCCCTGCACTGATATAGGCTGATAACAAAGCATTCCAAGTAACCACGTCTCTTGTTGGCATCTTTTCGAAAATGGCTCTCGCCTCATCAACTTTACCGCATTTATAGTAGAAAGTGACAAACGCATTCTCAACAGGCAGTGAAAAGTCCCGAGAACACTGTCTCTCCCTCTTTTGTATATAAGCATGCATCTGCTTTCCCATTTGAAGCAATCCACCATCAGCACAAGCACTTAAAATGCTTGTATATGTAAACTCGTCAAGCTCGATCCCAGAAGACAGCATCCTCCTAACCATATCTAGTGCTTCTCGATACAAACCACGATGAACATAACCAGAAATCATTGCGTTCCATGCGACCTGCATCTTCTCATCCATCCCAGCTAGCAACTCCTTCCCCGCATCTAAAAGACCATTCTTCACGTAACCCGTGATCATACTAGTCCACGACAACTCGTCCTTCGTGGGAATCTCATCAAACACTTTTCTAGCTGCACCCAATAAGGAAGATGGAGCAGCATAAGGGGAAGAAGCACATTTCACATACACGGATATCAGAGCGTTCAAAACAGACGTAGCATAACCCACCCCGGACTTCACAACGGCACCATGAAACTGCACACATTGCCTCTCCTCTTCGGCAACAAGTGCCAATCCTCTGAGAACACTACAGAATGTGAAGCTATCGGGTCTAAATCCGTCGCATTTCATCTCAGAAAAGAGATTCAAAGCCGAATACCCATCATTGTTATGTGAAAACGCAGTGATCATCGCATTGTACATAATGGTATCCCGCAAACTCAATGGAGTTTCCAGAAAAACTCGACAAGAGAGTTTGATATTTCCAGAATTGGAATAACCAGAAATCATGGAGGTTCTCGCGATCCCGTCTTGTTTGGGAATTTCGTCGAACAGGGTGCGTGCATAATCGAGCTTCGAGGATTTGCAATAGAAATCGATCAACCGGTTGACGATGTGGGCACGTGGGCGAAACCCAGAAGCGGTGATGTTGGCATGGATGGATAACGCGAGTGGAAGAGACGCGCCGGTCGGCGGGAAACAGAGGCGGAGATACGCGGCGTAGCGGTTGGCGATTATACGGACATGGTCTGGGTTTGGCTGCATCGCATGTTTGTAGCTTCGGTTCGGTTTGGTGTGGTACTCGGACGGATATATTATTTTTACCTGGTTAATAAAATTTATCAATTGTAGAAAATTATCAATTAAATTCATTTTATCAAACATTCAAAATCAGAACCATTTTTTTTTCTTAGTTTATTTAGGTATGGAATAAGATTTTATTAATTATGAGGCTATGCTTTAACACTCAAGTTTTCTTTATAATATATCATATATCATTGTTCTACTTCAAATTTTTTAATTATTTTTGCCACTACTACCATTTGGAATAATAGCAAAAATATCCCTACTTTGTTACAATAACTTCAGGTCATACCCTCCGAAACCCTAGAATTTAAAAAAAAACGAGCAAAAGACATAAAGGACCTTATAAAAAACGATACGTGGCGCAACAGGAAGGAAGGACGGTTAATCTTCTCAAATCGACACTATAACTTAGTCTTTTTCGAGACAAATTTCGAAACTGCTTCTCTCTCTCTCCTGTTCGAAGAAATCCGGCGAAATCCTGTCGTTTCTCTCTCGATTCTCATAAATCAGAACAATGGCTTCAAAATCCAACAGAAATGAAAAGAAGGCTTCAACTCCCGCTCGCAAATCGGGATGTGGCGGAAGAAAAAACCAGGAACTGAAGGTAAGTTTGGTAGTAAATGACTTTGAGTTTGATGCGATTCAAGAAATCTGGGTTTTTGGGTTTGTGTTTATGATTTTTAAGTTAATCGTGTGATTTATGGTGGAAAATGAGTTGTTAGATTCACCGAAACGGAAGTTAGTGTTTACCTGGTCACAATGGTCACACTGACTGATTGAGTGTTGATTTCTTCTTTGCAGGTTCCATTCATATATGATTTTTCAGATATTCAGTTCGCACCGAAGATTGAAAGCAAATGCTATTTGAGTCAGACGATAAAAAGTCTGAAAGAGGTATTATCTACCGAGGAGTGGAGGTACTTCAACGAGGATGCACAGTTTCGTCACATATTCCATTTGAAATGTGACGAAAACATGAAGATGTTGCCTATGTCAGTACTCCTACACCGAACGCTGAAGTTAGAGGAGGAAAAAGGGCAGTTATGATTTGTTTTAAATGACGTTCCTATCAGGTACTCTATAACCGAACACGCCATTATATCAGGATTGAAGTGCAACCAGTATCCGAAAAATTGGGAAGGGCGCAGGAAAAGCGATTTTCAGATAAAGACCTTCGGACCTGAGAAGGTCACCAGGAAAGCAGTTCTGAAAAAATTGCAAAAGAGTAAACACAGTCGGGTTGACAGAAAGAGATTGGCGACACTGATGTTGCTATCCGGGGTACTCAACCAGAGAACAGAAACGATGACTCTATCAACCATGATCTGGTTGATATGGTCGATGAACTTGAGTTATGCGAAGAATTTCCATGGGGGAGGTACACATTCGACAAATTGGTGGAACAGTTGCGGAAGATTCTACAAAATCTTACACCGAAGGAGAGATGGCGATTGTCTGGATTTGTTGTCCCTCTCATGGTGCTTCCTTTCGAATGCATCGAAACTCTTTGCACAAACGGTTGGTGCACGACTATTGAAGATGTCGATCCAAGCTGTCCGAGGATGTACAAGAAGCATATCTCTAACCCCAAATGGACTTTCGGGATGGTGATGAAATAGATTGGGAACGAAGCAAAGGTACGTCACAATGGTCCCACTGGTCACACCGTTTATCTTTTGTATTTGACCACGTTGGTCACACTGGTCATGTTGGTCACAGTGGTCACAGTGGTCACACTGGTCACACTAGTCACAATAGTCACACTGGTCACGTTGGTCACACTGGTCACGTTGGTCACACTGGTCACGTTGGTCACACTGGTCACGTTGGTCATACTGGTTACATTGGTCACGTTGGTCACACTGATCACGTTGGTCACGTTGGTCACGTTGGTCACACTGGTCACGTTGGTCACTTTGGTCACATCGTTTATGTTTTATATGTGGTCACACTGGTCACGTTGGTCACACCGTTTATTTTTAATTCTGGTCACACTAGTCTCACATGTCATATTGGCTAATATTCTACTGTTGTGTTTTGTTTTCAGGGCATTCGAAGTATTCTTAGAGTAGAAAGTGAGGAAGAGGAATCATTTCTTGCAAACGTCGATGACGAAGATATTACCAATTCGGATGTGCAAACGTCGATGACGAAGATATTACCAATTCGGATGTGCGCAGTTGGACGAAACAACTGAAGGTCGATCCAAAAAGTATTTGTTTTGAGCATATTCATGCTCTTGATGTCGATGCCAGGGGAGCTGCTTCCGATAAGAAGGCAGAAGAGAAGGACAAGAAAAAGAATCGAGAAGAAAAAGAAGAAGATGATGAAGAAGAGGAGGAAGAAGAAGGAGAAGAAGAAGTACAAAGAAGAGAACAAGAACAACACGGAAGAAAAAAACAAGTAAAAAAAGGGAAAAAAGATGAAGAAAAAGGTTCTGAAAGGAGATTGATGGAGACGATTAAGGCCTCTGAATTGATGATCATAAATTCAGTGAAGCAGATGATGAGGAAAGCATGATTTTCGGTTGATGAAGAACCTTTTGAGGGGGTGGGTTCTCCACGTTCACAAATACTTCTTCAAAGGGTGATAAGGATGTGCGTACTCCCCGAAGGGGGTGAGGATGTGGGTAGTAGAAGCTCATCAACGAGTGATTACTACGCAGGCAAGGATATTCCTTACCATTTTAAAGCTCGGGCTGGGGCTGGGCGTAGTGAAGGAAGTGATGACGAGGGCTGCGAGGGGATGTCTAATACTCCTCCCAGAACCCTGGAAGGGGGGGTTGCGAGTCCAAAAGTCCATGAAGAAAACCCTATGGAAGTGGACTTTGCTACCCAAGCCACCGAGGATGCTGCTGTCCACATCTCCGAGGACCCTACTGCCCAAGCGACCGAGGATATTATTGTCCACGTCTCCGAGGACCCTACTGCCCAAGCCACCGAGGACATTAATGCCAACGTCTCCAAGGACCCTACTGCCCAAGCCACCGAGGACATTACTGCTCACGTCTCCGAGGATCCTACTGCCCAAGCCACCGAGGACATTACTGCTCACGTCTCCGAGGACCCTACTGCCCAAGCCATCGAGGACATTATTGCCCACAACCCCGAGGAGCCTGCTAATATTGTCATTGAGGACTATGCTGCAGTGGCCCCTGATGGCAAGGCACCCCTGGACCCTGTTAACGTTGCCCCTAAGGCACCAAAACAGAAGATCTCGAGCGATGAAGCTGTTCCTGCTTCCCAGCCTGCTCCTGCCCTTACTCCAGCGCTGACTGAAGTCGCTGGACCCATGACACGTTCCAAAAGAATGTTGTTCCAAGGGCCAGCTCTTAGAAGTCCGTTTGTCGAGCCTGAGATGACAGATCCACCCCCGAAGAGGGTGGGAACGAAGACTGCGGGCAGAATAACTAATAGAGGACCCAGAGGTGGAGGAGCAAGAGGGATAGACATTTCGAGAGCCAGGG